AGAGCGACCCTGTACCGGGTTTCCAAGGCTGTAAATCTTTACGGGAGCAGAAAGCCTCATCTTTCTCCTGCAGAACAGCTGGTAGTTTCGAACTGCTGACCAGGAGACTAGCAGCCCGACTTAGTACTACATTAATGCCAGTTATTATTATAGACTTGTCAGTAGGAGGGGCCCTGGTGGCGCAGTGGCTAAAACACCCAGCTGCTAACCAAAAAGTTGATAGTTTGAACCCACCAACTGCTCTTCAGGGGAAAGACAGTCTGCCTCTGTAAAGAGCACAGCCTTGGGAATCAATCCTAGGAGGTAGTTTTCTACTCTGTACTACAGGGAGTCCTAGTGTGGTGCTGTGGGTTAATGCGCTGGACTGCAAAGTAGGTTAGTCTTTGCAAGGTTGGCAGTTCAAGCTCACCAGTCACTCCTCGGAAACCCTATACAGGGTTGCTGTGGGTTGGAACCACCTCGATGGCACTTAACAACAACTATAGGGTCACTATGAGTCAGAAGTAACTCATTGGTAGTGGGTTTGGTTTTGGTTTGGGCCACTGATTACACTGAAGCCACTAGCTAGTAATATGGTCAGAATTTGAACTCTAGTCTCTTGGCTACCGGTTCAAGATCCACAAAGTCGGTGGTTTGAGCCTACCAGCTGCTCTGTGGGAGAAAGATGAGGCATTCTGCTCCCACAAAGATTTAAAGCATGGGGAATCTTATACCAGGAGTTGGAACCCACTGGACTGCAACAATGCAGATTTTAAAAATGTGGCCTGTTGAGTACGTTTATAGTTCTTGTAGACTTTGCAAAACCCTTGTTGCTGCTTATTCATCCGCTTAGCACTTCCTGTGCTGTGCAAGGTGGGCTTCCCACAGAAGTTACTATAAGCTCTTACAGGCTCCTCAAGCTCCTGTTAAATACTCCCACTGTTCACACGGGGAGATAATTTTAGTGCTTTCAGTAACTACCCTATTAAACTCTCAGCCTGAATCTTCAGTTGACGGTTGGGCACTTGAAGAGTCAATTTCATTCATGTCAGACTCAAAAGGAATTAGACTAAACAAGTCAGTTCCCTTCCTGCTTTCCCCTTTTCAGTCAGTGCTGGTACCACTTCCTTACTGACCCAGAGGGGGAGGCTCAGCGTTGCTTTTGGCTTCTCCATCTCTTTCACTTTCATGTCCAGGATACTTGTCCCCTCAAATTCATCTCTCTTCGTCTTGGACTGTTGTGATCCATAGCATTTTCATTGGCTGATTTTCAGAAGTAGATCTCCAGACCTTTCTTCCTAGTTTGTCTTAGTCTGGAAGCCTCAGCATGATGTTGTTGTTGTTAGGTGCCATCGAGTCGGTACCAACTCATAGCGCCCCTATGCACAACAGAACGAAACACTGCCCGATCTTGGGCCAACCTCACAATTGTTGCCATGCTTGAGTCCATCAATGCTGCCACTTTGCAAATCCATCTCGCTGGGGGTCTTCCTCTCTTTCTCTGTCCCTCCGTTTTACCAAACATGATATTCTTCTCCAGTGACTGGTCCTACCTGACAATATGTCTGAAGTATGAGAGACGAAGCTTAGCCATCCTGGCCTCCAAGGAGCACTCTGGCTGCACTGCTTCCAACACAGATCTGTTGGTTCTTTTGGCAGCCTATGTCACTTTAAATGTTCTCCTCCAACACCATAACTCAGCATGATAGCAACATGCAATCCACAATTTACAGCTGGGTGGTGGCTCTACATGTAGTGCATTGGGTGGGAATTGAAGCCCTGTCCCCTATGGGAGAATCCATGTGTGTCAGCATAGAACTCTACTCCACAGGGTTTTCAATGACTGACTTTTCCAAAGCAGATAGTCAGGACTTTCTTCCAAGGTGCCTCTGGGTGGACTAAAACCTCTAGCATTTCTGTTAGTAGCTAACTGTAGTGACTATTTGAACCACCCAGGGACTCCAGTGGGCATCCTAGTGGGTGGGAAGTGGTTCATCATCTTTTGAAACATCCACTCTAAAACGTCTTAAAAGGAATACAGAAATGAATGAATTTATGCAGACGGAACTCTAGAATAATTGCTATGTTGCTGTACCTCCTGTCAAGTTTAAATTGCAAGTATGAGTCTAATGTGTTGTCTTCAGTTTTACAATTTTTACATTATCAATGTTGTTATCTTCTAAATCTATGTTGACCAATATAGTAGACTTGCAGTAATTTAAATTCATTTAAATGAAATAATTAAAAAAATTAATCACAGTAGTCACATGTGGCTATTGGCTACTGTTTTGGACAGCACAAATCTAGATCATTCTTTCATCCCAGAAAGTTCTATTGGACAATACTGGTCTAGGTTTTTCATTTTCTCAACTTTTCCTAATCACTCCCAAAGTTCATAGGTCTAAATCTTACTTCATGATTTTCAGATTTAGTAGGTTGTCAGTTCCATCTTCCTCTCCAGGAACCTCCTGATCAGTTCCCATCTGCCTTGTTGCCGTCTGAGCCTGCTACACAGCTTTCGTCCTAGAATGTGCTTTCTGTCTCATTATGGGTAGGACTTCCTCTAACATTTTCTTGGCTCAGGACGAAAATGCAAAGGGAACTCTCAGTCTTAGCCCTTCCATATTCTCTCTTTAGCTCTTCCTAGCCCTCACACTCATCAGAGATCTACAAGTACTGGTCACAGACGCAGCAAAAAGCTGCCCCTTTGTCATCTATTAGTGCAAAAGAACCCTGGTGGCACTGTACCTTACATAAGTCTACGGCTCAAACCCACCTTGTTCTTGTTGCTATTAAGTGCCATCCAGTTGGTCCCAACTCATAGTGTCCCTGTATAGGGTTTCTGAGGCTGTAAATCTTTGCGGGAGCAGAAAGCCTCACCTTTTTTCCCACAGAGTGGCTAGTGGAATCGAACCGCTGACCTTGTGATTCACAGCCCTATGCTTATCCTACACAGCCACCACATTCCTAGTGCTGGCATGCACATATAGTAAGCATTTAAATAATTAATAAACTTTTTGAATATGTTTTGAAAAAGTTCTAGAAAGTAATTAAACTTTGAAAAATATTATTGTTGTTGATAAGTGCTGTCGAGTCATTTCCGACTCATAGTGACCCTCTATAGGATTTCTGAGGAGCGGCTGGTGAGCTTGAATCACCAACCTTGCGGTTCAAACCGACTCTACAGTCCAGCACATTAACCAACAGTGCCACAGAACATATTTATGTAGAAAATAATATCGGGATGAATGTAAAAGGAATGCTAAAATAAAAAAAATTTTTAAAAGGACCCTTACTGATGGCTAGAAAGAATCCTTTCCTTTTTTTTTTTAATTAAAAGATAATTTGGTGAAAATATACACAAAACAATGTATACATTCAACAATTTCTACATGTACAGGCCATATCACTGGTTACATACGTCACATCATGTCACGCGCCCAGCTCATATTGTTTTACCACCATTTTCTTAGGCACTTAAAGTTGTCATCTGTGCTTTAGAGTTACTGGTATCAATTAGACCTCATACATATAATTCTTTAAAGGAGTACAACATTCAAGGCCGACATTCTTGATTAAATAAGTTAAACTGTGCTTAGTTTAAGATAACTTCATGGGGTGCTTTGGTTCAAGGTTCAATGGTTATTTCAGGAAAATAAATTTGGAGTTCCCCCAGTCTCAATGGATCCAGTAACGATTCTTCTCTAATATTACTCTTTGATTTCAGGCTCAAGCTGGTAGGTCTGTTTTAGAAGCCCAGACCTCAAGACCTCAGTATTCCTTGCTGTGGTCTTTTGCTCTAGTGCCAGGAATATCACTGTGCTTCTTTTTAAGAAAATGCAGCTGCTGGTTTCTAGTCTATTCTAGCCACTTGTGACTCAAGTGACAACTGCTGAGGGTGAGGGTGAAGAAGGGAATGACCTGTGGTTAGAAACCTCCTTGGTAACTAGGGTAGGAATAAACACATCAATTGGTTTCAGAGGCAGTCCTGGGAAGGGAAGTAGTCTGAGAAGAGGGACTTAGAGCAAACAACTCTGTCCTGAGTTGTAAAGGTAGGAGAGGCATCATGGTCCTTTTTGTTAGGCTGATAGTGAATTAATTTCACAGCAGCTTGTTGTTGTCAGTTATTTAATTCAAAGAGTCTCTCCTAAATGCGAATAACTATGCTACGTGCTTTGCTAGGGACAGAATACAAAGGTGGGTAAGATACAGTTCCTGTTTTCATTCAACTTTCCTGCATATTTCCTCATCACGCTTCTTGTAATCCAATGCCCAGACTAGTCATGGTCATGCTGCTCCTCAATTTACAAGCTTTCAGTGATTTTTCATTTCCTATGTGGCAGAACCCAAATGACTTTGCGTGACTCCCAAGACCCTTCATGATCCAATTCCAGTGTATTCTCCGGGTCCCTTCTGCTACGTCCCTTCTTGGTATATCATGAACAGGTTATGCCATCATGATTTCTTTTTTAAATGTTTTCTTTCTGTTAGTGTTATACATATGTCTGGAACACAACCTTTGCCAAGTCATTATTTTTTGCGTGTACAATTTAGTAATATCAATCACACCACTTACATTGTGCAATCACCACCCATAACTGTTGCCAAATTCCCTATAACCTCTCACCTCCTCTATCACACGTTCCATGACTTCTCCCCCGTTAGCAGCTCCTCTTCTATATGTTTTTTTGACTATCATAATCCTCAATCAGATAATATGGAAATTGTTGCTGTTCAGTTGATAGTATTCCATACTGGGAAATTCTCTCAAGGACGGAACCAAGTGTATTCGTCTTTAAATGTACAACATATGCCATAGTCCTAATGCATTGTGGTTGGTGTGAGGTGCCATCGAGTCGGTTCCAACCCACAGCGATCCTGTACAGGGTTTCCAGGGAGCGGCAGGCACTAAATTACTGATGGTTTCATTCATTGTCCTGTGATTTTTTTGTCCTTACTGGTGATTTTTAGAACCCCAATCTTCTTTTTCCCCATTGTTACTCACCAATTCTCTTTCCAGAATGCTGTCAGAAGGGTATCTCAGTGGACTTCCCTACTGGACTGACATTCCCTTGGATTGTGCATCTCCTGATGAGCACATGGCTGAGGAAAAGGAAGAGGAGGCAAATGCTCGTGCTGCTGTCCTTTCCTATTCTTCTGTGGATGAAACGCAGGTTAGAAGTCTCTATGTGAGCTGCAAATCGTCTGACAAGTTTATTTCTTCAGTGCATTCCAGAGAGAGCCAACAGAGCAGAAACCAGAGCGTCACGGTGCTGCAGACAAACGCCAATCCCATGTTTCAAAGGCCAACCATGACCACAGTTGAAATCTGTAGAGACCACAGTACCAACAGAGAAACTTACTTGGTGCCACCATCTTGCAAAAGTATTTGCAAGAATTACAATGATTTACATATTGCTGGGGGCCAGGTGATGGCCATTAATTCAGTGACAACAGGTTTTCCCTCTGAGAGCAGTTTTGAATATGGCCCTTTGCTGAAGTCGTCAGAGATTCCTTTGTCCATGGAGGATTCCATTTCCACTCAACCCAGTGACATTGCCCCACAACCTTTCCAGCGCTACTCATCCTACTGGCGAATAACAAGCATCAAAGAGAAGAACAGCCTGCAAATGCAGACACCTATTTCTAATGCAGTGTTGAATGAGTATCTGGAGCAGAAGGTGGTCGAGTTATATAAGCAGTACATCATGGACGCTGTGTTTCATGACAATTCTCCTACCCAGATTCTGGCCTCTGAACTCATCATGACAAGTGTGGACCAAATTAGTCTTCAACTGTCTCGAGAGAAGAACCTAGAGACTTCAAAAGCCAGGGATATCGTCATTAGCCGCCTGTTACAGTTGGTGCCAAGTGAAATTAGCACTCCTAGTCTCCATATTTCTCAATATAGCAACGTGAATCCATAGAGAGGATAGATAGTCTCTCTCAGCTACTCAAACCCAAAACAATACTTTAGTACGTTTATTCTGAGACAATGCAGGAGGAGGTTTGAATGGAAGTCAAGAGCTAGAGAAGTAAAGGTTGGCTGTAAGGCAGGTGTGAATTAGGGGGAAACTCAAGAGTACACAGGGTTGAGCGAATCATTGAAGAGGAGCTAATGAAGAATTATTTCAGAGTGTTGTACAACAAATTAAACAAGAATAAAAATGATCAGAAGAGAAACAGGTATGTTTCATTTGAGGGAGTATAGAAATGGAAGAAGAAGAAACACTAGCCAGATAAGAAGGAAATCTACCATAGCAAAACGAAAAAGTCAAAAGGTTTCAAGGTGTGTAGTTTAGAATGTTTGTTACCCAGATAAATCCCTGCAACCGTAGGAGGCTGGCATATTTGGGTAGAACGATGGGTTTAAACAGTTTTCAAAATGGATGTTTCTATTTTTCTCTATTCTGCCAATAGATCATTTAAAGTTACAGCTCTATAAAATAAAAATGGTCACAAATTGCAATTGCGTCTTTATTTTTGGAATGACTTAGCCACAGCTACAGCTGGAACACACCCCCACATGTCCCCCAATTCTGTTTACTGGTGACAATAAAGTTTTCTAAATGGAAAATGCCATACAGTAACTATTTATAAAATTTAGTTTTATTTTGTTATGTATGATTCTCTTGGGACACTAAGCTTCAAAAGAAACTAAGAATCTTACTTTTATCTTTTGTTTTCTTCTTCCTTTTCTCCATGCGGTCTTGATCATTTTAGATCAAGGAAACAGTGTTCCAAATCCTCAAAATAAGGTTCTTGTTGTTAAGTGCTGTTGAGTCAGTTTTAACTCATAGCGACCTTGTATAGGGTTCCCAAGGGGCAGCTGGTGGATTTGAACTGCTGACCTTGTGATTCACTGTCCAGTACTGATCCTACAGCACCATATCAGCTCTAATTTCTCATTCACTAGGATGGAATCTTTATGAGCTCTTTCTTGCTCTTCCACCTTTTGTGTGAATCAGGGGCTGGCAAACTACGGCCTTGGGGTGGGGTGGGGTGGTAGCGGGCAAAAACTAGCCAGCTGCCTGATTTTGAACTCTTGTGAGGTAAGAAGTATTATTCCAGTTATAAGTGGTTGAAAATATCAAAAGAAGAACAATATTTCATGACATATGGAAATCATATGACATTACATTTCATTGTCCCTAAACAAAGTCTCAGGAGTCCTGGTGTGGCCCTGTGGGTTAATGCACTGGACTGCAAAGTCATTTGAACCATAAGGTTGGCAGTTCAAGTTCACCAGCCACTCTTCAGAAACCCTATACAGGGTCGCTATGGGTCAGAACTAACTCAATGCCACTTAACAACAACAACAACAAATAAAGTTTGGAGTCCTGGTGTGGCACTGTAGGATAAGCTTTAGACCACAAGGTCGATTTGAAACACAAGGTCGGCCATTTAAACTCACCAGCAGCTCCTCTGAAACCCTATACAGGGTCACTATGAGTCAGAGCTGACTCAAAGGCACTTAACAATAACAAATAACTTTTTACTAAAACATACCACACTTATTTATTTATGTATTGTCTGTGGCTGCTTTCACACTAGAATGGCAAATTGAGTAGATACAACCCAGACTATAGGGTCTCAAAGTCTAAAACATTTATGATGTGGCCCTTTACAGAAACAGTTTGCCAACCCTGCTCTGCTGAAGTGCATTCCCCATCCAGTAGTTGCTTGACTTAATTCCAGTTTCCTGGGGAAGTAGAATCAGATACGAAGGTTGGTGAACAAGGATTACAGGCATGAGGTTTCAAGAACAACTCATGTGAGAGAAGTAGGAGCGGCTGTCCCGCTGTCTCAAGCCCATTTGGCAGGAGATGCAGGAATTGGGAAGGCCCTTCAAAATGGTTCCAAACGGAGTCAAGGGGATTGGGTTTTGTACACCAACACTGGCAAATATGGAGCATAACTTGAGCTGAGTCAATTAAGGCGAGGGCAATTCTCAAAGTGGGAATCAGCTGCGAGCCTTCAGCAGCCAAACTCCTCGGAAAGGAGCAGTCTGGGTGGAACAACAGCATATTCTCTCCATTTCTCAGTTGTCCCTGGGGCGTGCAGATGGTTAATGGGCTCTGCTCAGAAGCTTGTTACGGGAAGTGCCTCAGAAGCAAAGTCTGGCAGTCAGCCCTTGAAAACCCTATGGAGCACAGGGTCACCATGCGTCAGAGTCGACTCGATGGCAAGTGGAACTGGTTATTTGTAGAATAAATTAATGTATTTTTTCTCCAACAATATATTATGTTGCACATGGAAACCTAATTTTGAAATAATTATTCAGAAATGTTATTCTCAATTTTAAATGTATCATAATAACTACATTTTTTGTTTAGTAGTGATGTTGAGTCGGTTTTGACTTATGTTATTGTTGCTGTCAAGTGCCGTTGAGTCAATTCTGACCCATAGCGACCCTGTATAGGGTTTCCGAGGAGTATCTGGTGAGCTTGAACCGCCGACCTTGCAGTTCAAATGGCTTAGCAACGCCATATAGGTTTCCAAGGAGCAGCTAGTGGGTTTGAACTGCCAACCTTGTGGTTAGTAGTGCAGTGCTTATCCTACAGCACTGCACCAGGACTCTATAATAATTATAATAACTACTATGTATGTAATAGTTGTTTTAGGAGCCCTAGTGGCACAATACTTAAGCACTTGGCTATTAACTGTCAGATCAGCAGTTCCAACCTACCAGATGTGCTGCAGGAGGAAAGACACAGACAATCTGCTCCCATAAAGATTAACCGAAGCCAAAACACCAAACCCATGACCATCGAGTCAATGACCCTGTATAGAGTTTCCAAGGCTGCAAATCTTTACCGGAATAGAAAGCCTCATCTTTCTCCCATGGAGCAGCCGGTGGGGCTGGTGGGTTTAAACTGCCAACCTTGTGACAGTCCAATGCTTATCTTACAGCACCACCAGGTCTCCTTCCCATAAAGATTGTTGTTGTTAAGTGCTGTCGTGTTGGTTCGGACCCATAGCGCCCCTGTATAGGGTTTCTGAGGAGAGGCTGGTGAACTTGAACCATTGCAGTTGTTGTGGCTCAGACTTTGCTGTCCAGAGCATTAACCCACAATGCTACATCAGGACTCCTCCCATAAAGATTGGTGGTGGTGGTGGTGGTCATGTGCCATGGAATCAGTTCCAACCCATAAAGATTACAGCCTAGGAAATCCTATGGATCAAATTCTACTCGGTCACATGGCGGAGCTATGATTTAGAATTGACTCAACGACATACAGCATTAGTTGTTTGTGATGTGCCTGGCACTGTGTGAAGCATTTCGCATGAATCATCTTAATTTTCAGAATAAAATTACTAGAGAGTGTGGCTATTTTTTTAAATCCCTTTTTACAGACTCGATGGCACTTCACAACAACAACAACACGTGATCCAGGTGGACTCAGAGAAGGTAAGTAATTTGTCTAGATTTGAATCTAGTTCCATTTGACTTGAAAGTTCTTGGTTTTTTAAACCATCACCATCTGCTTTCTCTTTTGGACTACTATAGTTATCCCATTTCTTCTTCAAGGATAAAACAACTCAATTGTTTTCCTGCTATGTTACTTTATTTTGTACTGTGTTTTGCTTGCTTTTCTATTTATTTTTGTACCCATCTCCCCAGTTCAGAATGTAAGCTTTGATCTATTCATTTGCTTTTACAATGTCTCCAAAAGTACTTGCACCTTGTTGTTGTCGTTGTGTGCTCTGTCAGTCAAGTCAGCTCTGACCCATAGCAACCCAGGAGAGGGTTTCTGAGGCTGCAAATCTTTGCAGGAGCAGAAAGCCTCATCCTTCTCCTGTGAAGCAGCTGGTGGGCTCGAACTGCTGACTTTGTGGTTCACAGTCCAGTGTTTATCTTACAGAGCCACCATGTTCCCATTGCACATAGTAAATGAGTACGTTATGGCGTGCCAAAGACTGCATCTGATGGTCAAAGTAAAGTACTGTCAATACGGGAACCACATAATGCTTACTAGAAAAAATGTGCCATTCAGGTTTACTCCTCAAGGAGAAAAGCAAGTGAATAAATGAAGTTTTTTTTTTCTTACAGCAGATTAATAAATAGTGCATAGTAAAATGAATTATAATAAAATCATTATAGAAATTTCCCTTTGGTTTACTGAGAAACAATTTGTTACATTTTTCAGTGATGTTGATTCATTGGTTTTGGTTGGAACACTGTGCATTGAGCATACACAGGGAAGACACACACACACATAAGAGTAGGCCCTGTTCTTTGCAAGGTTACTATATTGTTGGAAAAGCCTGGCAATGACCAAGGAACAAGTAACAAAGTCACTTATTGTTTTACAGTTTTTATTGCGAATTGAGTGATAGTGAACATGGGAGAATATCGGTTTTACAGTCATTGTTTCATTGCAATGATTACCATCTCCTCCGTGCATCATCATTCAACAGTATTTGTTTCTATTCCCTCTGTTTTTTGTTGTTATTTTGTTTTGTTTTGATGTACACAAAAACACTCAGGAATATATGAAATTTAAACAACCAAAGGACACTTTCTG